AAACTCTAGATTTTAACCGGAAAAGTTGGGGGTCGTCTTATACGCCCAGTCGTCTTATACGCCGGAAAATACGGTATATCTGAACACACAGAGAGAGAGAGAATGATTTTAACATGATGCTCTCCAGCTCATCAGATAACATCTCATACCAGTTATTGTATCACAATGATCAACTCCCCAAAATCTTCCATTGTTAATGGTATTTAAACTCCTCTGCAATTTTGATGGACTCAAGGAGGTTTAGCAACCTACAATGAATAATACCAAAAAGTATCACTTTTCACAGGAGGAAGAATAGCTAAGTATCCAAAATTCATCTAAAATCATAATGAAGTAAGGTGCACTTGTCCCTTTAGGATTTGATATTTCATCAATGTAACTAAGTCAACATGTAGGGTATAAGTCAATAGGCAGCAAGTCATTCACAGGGAGTACACACACCAAATTCTGCCAACCATAAATTCAAGCTCATAGAAAGGGCTCACAGAAAGTTACATACTTACATGAGAAATTGCAGTGACTCCAGACGGACCAGTCACATGTTTAAAATTGCTCATGTACAGACATGTTTGCAGGCTTAGGGAACCAAACAGTTTTCCTAGAAAAATCTAGAGGCATCCCATGCTGTCCCCACCATGAACTATCCCATGTAGTCTATGGTTATGATGGGAATAGACTGCTTAAATCTTAATGTTGCCTGGCCCATGTCTGTATCTCCTCAGCAGGAAAATAATTACCTCTCCAAACCATGAAGACTCAAACTTGCTTGAAAGAAAATCTATGTTAAAGGAACACAGTCAGACTCATGATAGTCAATCAGATCCTAGCCTTTCCCCTTTACAGTGGCCTAAGGAACAGATTTTCTAAATTTTTCAACACCGACAATGGAGCCCAAATTCTTTAAAAAATTAATCTCCCATTTACACACCTAAGCCAGTGCACAGACTCACCAGCTGGGGAAAGAAAATAGGAAGATTCAAAGGCCAAACTATAGGTCACTTTACCCTTTTTTCCTTAGAGTTGCCTTTATTTCCAAAAACAAAATTCAAAAGCACAACAAATTAGCAACACTGGAAAATAACCACTGGGAGCTTTCCAACTACAGCTAGCTGAGAGAAGAGAGAACATAAACGACCCCAATGATAACCACCTTTGAACCCACTTCCACTTTCCACCCAAATCAGTCATGTTATAGGGAGGAATCTATTAACCCCTTACATTTTGAAGGGACTTTACACCTTGTCACAGAACCTCAACGAAGCGGTGGATTTTCCCAGCAGCTTCCACAGAGAACAGCGGGAGCCATCAGATTCCGAGTTCTTTTGAAAATCTGGCCTTAATGATACCTAGAGAGTCTTTTGTGCAGAGGTTAATTTTTCCCCTTATTTTGGTTTTTTCAGCCCATGGGATCGGAGCGGATGGAAATGCGCAAACGGCAGATGTCTGTGGCCCAGGAGACACCAAGTTCCACACAGGCACAGCATGGCATTGGGAATCGAGCTTCCAATGCCTGCTGCTTTTGTTGGTGCTGTTGTTGCAGCTGCTCATGGTATGTCTTTTGGTGTCTCAACTCAAACTTACAGGGGTGAGTGATCAGGACAACATAAACAGCACAGCACTTGGGGTAATAATACAAGTCTAGAACAATAGGAAAAAGATGGCTTTGTTGCAATTCTGAATACAGTTTTCAGCTCCAATTCTTGTGGGTTTTCCATTGAAATAATTAAGGATGTAAAAAAAGCATCAGCTGTGTGTGTGTGTGTGTGTGTGTGTGTGTGTGTGTGTGTGTGTGTGTGGACGGGAGGGCCTAAGG